TAAATAAATAAATAAATAAACTTTTAAAAGAAGAACAAGAATTTGCTAATTCTGAAGAGAAACAAAATTTTAAAAATGAAGATGACTCATAAATATACATATTATTAATCATATTATAACCATTCAGTCATGTGTAAGAGTTGAGATTTTATTTAGGGAATACAATCTGTACACAAAAGTATGGTGAATATAATGAATATTGTAGTAATTACCATAATAAAAATACAAGTAACATATAAAAATGAATCTGGAAAGGCATCTTGGAGAAGGGAATTTTAATCTGAGCATCAAATTAGAAATGATGTATATACAGGTAGAAATTTGACATTTGAGATGGAGGAAAACAATGAAGAGATATTAAGTGAAATATTGCCACTCTTTCAGAGATGCACCAGTTGGCTTTGGTATTGGGTAAATAAAAGTGAAAGGAGGAATATGCATGACAAAGAGAAATCTTTAATTTTGATTAGGATGTTAGTTCATGTTGCCAAAGCAATCATAAAATATTTAAAATTCCATCTGTTTGAATTATGCAGATTCCCTATGAAGTTAAATCATATATTTGGAAAATAATTTGGGTTCATTAGCATTTAGTCTTATTTTTGCTATTTACTCTATGTGTGAGGTGACCATATAGCTTTACCTGGCACAATTCTGATGTATGCCAATAGAGTCAGATTATTATTAATAGCTTCTCTTTTTCTTTCAAACAAGTGCTGGCTTAGATGATGTGCTATCCATGGGGTTGGTTAACTTCTTTAAGTTTCAGACTCCTTACCTTAAAATATGGATAATTTTTATAACTACCACATGGCATTGTGAGCAGTAATAATACAGTGCCTGTAGAGTACTTAATTCAGTACCTTTACAAAGCAAACAATTGATAACTGCCAGTTATAACAATTTAATTATTAAAAGATGACAAATATTCAATTGGCTCAAAAAAATCAGTTATAGCACCAATTATTTGGATGATTTGTACACTTATAATTGACTAGAATATTGACTAATTGCTATATATAAATTAGTAGTTGTAAAAATATTCTTTTCTTTCTTTTCTATCGCATTCACACTACACACAGTCTACAAGAAATTATCTTCTAAGGCCAGTATATATTGAATATTATTCTAATAAATGGAAACGGTTACTTTTGCCTCCAAATTTATTACTTAAATATAGATTGCATCATGGAAGAATATAATCCCAGATATATAAACAGATGATCCAGATGACAGTGATGAAGCATTTCTATTTCCTCAGACACAAATAAAACTCTGATAAAACCAGTGTATAGTCTGGAGCAACTTTTTAAAAAGTTTATTTATTTATTTTGAGAGAGAGAAAAAGCATGTACACAAGTAAGGGAGGGGCAGAGAGAGAGGGAGAGAGAGCATCTCAAGCAGATTCTTGTCAGCATGGAGCCCAACACGAGGCTTGAACTCACAAACCATAAGATCATGGCCTGGGCTGAAACCAAGAGTGGGTTACTTAACTGACTGAACCACCCAAGTGCCCCAAGTCTGGAGTGATTTTTAAAGATATTTAATGAATCTTTTCAGTCCTTTTATAAATGATATCATGCAAAGCTCTCTGAACCCAAACCCCCCAAAATGTTAGCTTTAGCCTGATATTTCACATGTTTCAGTACAAAGATGTTCTTTAGATTTGCAAAGACATTAACATATATCCTGTTAAGGAACAAATCTCTCCACCAGCTAATAAAAACATTAATATAGAGTAATAAAAATACTTTGAAATACCTTTACATAAAAGTGTTTAAACATTACTGTTCTAACTCTTTTGGTTTTGAGATGTTGTTTTAATTACATTCAATAGTGTCTCACAAAGCATCAGAACATCCAGGAATATTCTGATTTCTGTAGTAATTAGAATCCATGCCACCCCCAACTCTCCTTCTTCATAAATTCAGTAGAATTTTAATATTTCTGAAGAAGATTCAGAAAATATCCTTTAAAAATTTTTTTTAATGTTTAGTTACTATTATTATTTTTTGAGAGACAGAGAGACAGAGTGTGAGTGGGGGAGAGGCAGAGAGAGAGGGAAACACAGAATCTGAAACAGGCTCCAGGCTCCAAGCTGTCAGCACAGAGCCCGATGTGGGGTTCGAACCCACGAACTGTGAGATCATGACCTGAGTCAAAGTCAGATGCTTAACCGATTGAGCCACCCAGGTACCCCCCAGATAATATTCTTAACAGATAGATGTTGGAAATTTTGTTTGTTATGTTTTTAAATTTACTGCATTGATATTGCTCTTATTAAAATAAGGAGGGAATATATCAACATTTCTTTTTTAGGAGTCAGAAAAGGTCATGATCATGACATAAATGAAGTGTCTCCTAATTTGGAGGAGGAACCCCAGTACCTCACAGCCTTCAAGTCACAAATCTTTCAAGGTGAAATCTGGTAACAGCCTCGCTGGGTGATGTTATCAGCATGCTATCAATCAGAACCCAAGTGGGAATGTATAGCTTGAGTCTAAAGAGCTCTTCAGAAAATTTTTAGTTTCTTTTTCTCCATCTAATTTGCCTAAGTTACTACAGAAAGTGAGTCAAATGTAACCAGAGATAGCTATAGATATAATAAACAAAACAAAATAAAACAAAAACAGACTTCAAAAAAAGAAAGGCAAAATGAATTTTCCCTTTATTTGAGATGTTTTGTGGTCAGGGAAAGAATGTGAAAATGTGGGCCCAGCTGGACTAGCCATGAGTATTGACTTCCTCCATCTGATTCCAGTTGTGTCAGTTTTCAGTCAGTTTTAGATTATGATTCCCTTCAGCTATTTTTGTGAGCATACGAACAAATTTGTGAATAGCGTTTAAGCTTTACAGAATAGACTATGAGGGTGAATTGGGGTTAAAGAAGAGGTAAGAGGCTTAAATATGAAGAAATTACAAGAAAACCTTTTTCGAGTATGTACATCAATTGCAACTGGTTTGACTGAGGCATTTTGAGACTTGAAGTTGACTTTTGATTTTGGAATCTCTGTTCTAACCCTGGAAGTTCAGCCTGCTTTAATAGGCTTAGTATTTCTACCCAAGCTATGATGATGACTAAAAGATGCATTATATGCAATAGAATTACAAGTACTCATTTCAGGACGTTTCTTCAGAAATGTTGAAGTGTGGCTGCATTAGTTTCTTATTGCTCCTGTAACAAATAACCATTCATTTAGTAACCTAAAACAACCCAAAGGTATTATCTGACAGTTCTAGTGGTCGGAATTCAGACACGGGTCTCCCTGGACTAAAATCAAGCTGTTGGTGAGGCTGTATTGCTTCCAGATCCCTTCTTCCACTTTCCCTTCCTTTCTCCTTCCTCCTCTCTCTAGAAGAGAAGTCATTTCCTTGCATTTCCCAGCTTCTAGGGGCTGCCTGCATTTCTTGGCACATGCCCATTCTTTCATCTTCAAAGCCACCAATGCTCAGTTGAGATTTTTCTCATATCACAACACTATGACTCTGGCCATCTGTCTTCCTCTTCCACATTTCAACAACCCCTGCAATGACATCTTGCCAACTTGGATAATCCAAGTTGGATACTCCCCTTATTATAAGGTTTATCTGGTTATCTGATTAGGAAACCTAATTCCATTGGCAACCTAAAATCTCCCTTGTCATGTGACATGACTTATTCCAAGGTTTCTGGGATAAGAACATGGACATATTTGAGGATCCGTAAATTCTCCAGGAATTGTTTTGTTTTGTTTTGTTTTGTTTTTATTCTGCTTTCAATAGTAATGTGAGCAAGTTGATAACCTAACTGAATGTTTAGGTTGTCCCTGCTGAGGACTCTACATGTCTTGAGGGAGACTAACCTGATTCTCTTCCTTGGCAGGTCTTTGACCCAGGTACACTTCTTAAGAAAACACATCCATAGCCTGGTGAGACGTGGGCTATGATAACCATTATTCATCACATAATATTGCCTTGGTGCATCTTGTTACATGCAATAAAGCGTTTCCAGATTAGGGATGGGAAAGTCTTATAGAGAAATGAGAACAAAAAAATATAGTCACATACTAAGCCTAGGTATGAGTCAGTAAATTATAGGAAGATGTGGTAGGACAAAGATGATGTTCACCATATAACAAGAGATTGCCGGCATGTCTATTCCAGCAGACAATGTCAGGAGGTCCAACTGAGAGAAATTGGGGTCTCCATAAAAATCATCGCATGGGATTTAGAAGTCAAGACCAGACATGTTAAGAGACTCAATACAAGACTGACGGGCAGTTGCATCAGAGATTTCTATTTGCTCTTAGTAAGGTCTATAGTCATTGTCTGGTCCGTGGTTGGGGAAAGTTAGAGGAAAAGATCTATGGTCATAGTCTGGTCCATGGTTGGGGAAATTCAGAGGAAGTTGAAAGTTTCAGATAAACTGGGTTACTGGCAGGTCACTAAAATAGGAGCTGTAGTAAAAGGACTTCTATTTTCTAGAAGAGAGAGTAAAATTTTGGAAAATGGAAAAGTAAAAACCCAAATATTGAAAGTGAGATCTCAAGTCAGAACAATTCTAGCAGTATACACTGACTGCTGTATCCTGAGCTGAGTAAAAGTTAATTAACTTCTTTGCTTAAGTCGAATACATTTGAGAGATAGAAGTTAGGCCACAGCTGATTCAAGTAGACTGAGTGGTGGATTGAAAATGTTCGTTCTGAGAACGAAAGGCAGTAACTAGCATCTTCAGCAATAATTTTATATTGAGCATAAAATACTTTATATTATTATTTGTTGTTTATTTACTTTGCTTACGAATTATTCCTTTCAGAACAGTAACCAAGTCTTTTTCATCTTAATTTTCTCATAGAGTGCCTAGGATAATGTTTTTTCATATAAAACAGACACTTGAATTTTTCCTTTCAGGTTGTCCAGTTAGGGAACTTTACCTATTCTAATCACTTTGTATTTGTTGGCTTGCTATTAGGTGGTTTGTAAATATATATTGGCCTCACTTTTTAAAAACATACTTTATTATCACTTCTCGGCCTTTTGGCTAAGATCAAGTGTAAAAAAAATACTTTATTTTTTTTTAAGTTTATTTATTTATTTTGAGAGAGACAGCATAAATGGAGGAGGGGCAGAGAACGTGGGAGAATCCTAACCAGGCTTGGTGCTGTCAGTGCAGAGCCTGATGCAGGGCTTGAAGCCTCAGGATCTTGAGATCATGACCTGAACTGAAACCAAGAGTTGAATGCTTAACCGACTGAGCCACCCAGGCACCATATATTGGCCTTACTTTTACATGTGTTTCTAAAGACAGTTGGTGACCTCTACATATAAGAATTCTAGAACAGGAAAGAGAAACTATGGCAAACTGGTGAAAACATTATTTGAGGATAAAAAGAACTTTCAGCATTTACTTATTCATAATTATTAGGTCACCTCTTATTTCAGCTATTCCTGATGTTTATTCTTTGAGAACTGAATTCTTCAAATATCATGAACCATATATGTACTATCTGCTATTTTCTCGTCCTCTGCTGGTTGCTCTAACTTGTAAGTAGTTTACTCTTATTGCTTTTCCTTACACAATGTCATATATTTGTTTATCAATTCAACTCTATTTTTTTCTTTCTTAAACAAATAAAATTTTTACTTGCTGACCTAGGGTTTTTCCTGTCACAATACAATTTACATATTTAATATTTCTTTTTTGGTTGATATTTAATTGACATATAACATTGTGTTAGTTTAGATGTACAGCATAATGATTTGATACAGGTGTATATTGTGAAATGATCACCCCAATATGTTTAATTCACATCTATCTTCACACATATTATTGGATTTTATTCTTATGATGAGAACTTTAAAGATCTACTCTCTTAGTAGTAGATATTTTAACCTATCTCAGTGTAAAGTCAATTATTTAATTATTTCCCCTTTGCACTGGTCTCTATACTGTCTTGGGCCTTTTATGCATTCCGGTCCTAAGATAGACAATTAGAGAGACAGACAGACAGACAGACATGTGACAGATAATTCAATGTATAAATGTGCCAAAATCTCCAAAATGTTAAAACAACATTTGTACATATGGATGATCTTACCCCTGCTCTATAGGGATTTATAATCTAAACAATATTGGAAAACATATAGACACATTAAACAATTATGTAAAAAAAGGAAAGCACATAATGAAATACAAATATATTCTTAAATATAAAAGCTTTTCTTTTTTTTTGTAGGTTCACCACATACTTCCTTTTTGCTTTAAGGTGTTTGGTCGTCATCATCTCCTAATGTACCATTATTATTTCCTTTTAAGGTGAGATAATGACATTAGCTAGTAAGTGGAAGAGATAAATTTCAGACCGCTATCCAACTACACATATGTGTGCTCTTTCCCAAATATCACTTAATTAACTATATATAAGGAAAACAGAGTATGAGAGGCTCAGAAAAAAATTAAGCTTATTTATTTATTGATGTAACAGAGAAGGTTTCAACAAAGACATGCATCTTAACTTAGGCTTTAAAAACTGGATGTAATCTAAACTGGAAATTAGAAAGATAGGCATCCTAGGTACAGAATAGTATAAGCAAAGGCATGGAGATAAATGTTAGCCCTGTCTGTTACCAAGACAGTAAAAAGCAAGTGCAAAAGTCTGATTGAATCATTCTACCCCACATTCGTTCATCTCAAATTCAATGCTAAACCTTTATCCAATCAGCCTATCAGGTCCAGAATTACTTTCAGAGCAGACAAATTACTTTTACCCAGCATATGGTTTCAGAACTTAATGCCAGGCCAGTTTGTCTTCCTTCATTTGTAAACAATACTGTGTCCTGAGGAAGGAATATTGAATCCACACTTTATATAGGAATATATTAGATTTTTAAATTACATGGTGTTGTGTATGTCACACTCCAGCAAGCTCATTCCTAAAAGGATAAAGTTAGTCATGGAGAGAACGCTTGCACTAGAAACACAAATGCCTGATGAATATACAAGGGTAAATAAGTGAAATATGTATTGCTGAAATGAAGACTGTGCTGAGATTAGATAGCCTACCAAGGAGACAGAAAAGCCTTCTCAAAATGCATCATTTAATATGGAACTGTACAAATGGTCATCTTTTATTGTATAGTCTAGCCTTTCATTTAATTTGTCACAAGGGTACCCACCACTAGGCAAAATGTCTGTTTTGACATATACCACTCAAGTGTGAAAGTAACCTTTTGCTTTAATGCTTTATTCAAGAACTAGCCTGGTGTTTTTAATTGGCTAATGCGGCCCTCAAATCTGCAGTCTCCCAAAGAATATAATACATCCAAAAAACAGCCCAGTTTTAATTTCTTCCATTTTAATGTAGCTTAATATGAAATCCGTTTTACATCCCACTTGCAATTAGTGAGTATAATCAGTGTAAAAATGTGAATGGTAGTTGCAGCTGCGGTAGGCGACGTCTGTGAACATTTCCAATAAGATAAAAATACCATTCCCAAATCAAAAAGGAGATGTGAACTGATATGGAGAAGCTGATTGTTGAAATATTTCTGGTAACTACAGTTATTCTAATATTTATGTGGCTAATTGTTATTTTCCTCCATTTTGTAATATCTTCATTCAATTTCTAACAATATAATCAGGTACAAGCAACATGCCTGTTTTCTGTTCAGACTTCAAGTAAAAGCAGTCATGGTACTGATAAGAGACGAATAATTTTGACATTTAGACAGTGTACATACTAAATATCTGCTTTTGAAATGTGTAATATGGACTATAAATTATTTTAAATTTGCAACTAAGGCTTAAAGATGCATTTCAGTTGAACACTGAGAAAGATGAGGGGAATTATAACAGGAGATGTCCTCAGTAACTGATTCTGTTAGATAAAATTTAGTTTCAGGTAAACTGTTTGTCATACCCAGCTAGTGTGGATACTTGAGAAACTTATGCATTGTTTTTACTAATTTTAAAATTTAATAAGTTATCTTATACTTTAGAATCACTCTTTCTACAAAGAAGAGTTTTCAATAGTTTTAAATTAACAACTTAAAATGATTGAAAAAATACGTGTTTATTTTATATAGAAATATGAATAATGTGTAGCACCAAAGGTACTTACTTATAAAATTTTGACATTGAGCATTGTAAAGTATTGACAACCTTTGAGTCCCCCCGTCTCAAATTTCCATGTCTTTCTACATCAGGTTAGCTTATGGTAGTTGTTCAATTTGAATTTGCAAGATGCGTGATTGTTATAACAATGTCATAAACTATTAAGGTAGCTCTTTCGTATTTAAAAATATCATTATGTAATTACCAAGTTCATATTCATAAAAACTATATCTTGAAAAATTTTAATCATGTGTAATATTAAAATTTTATTGGATTTTTCACCTTTATTGTTAATTTTCACATTGTTACGGGCTATGAGTTTGTGTCCCACCCCAAAATGAATGTGGAAGTTCTAATTCCTGATGTGATGGTATTAGGAGGTGGGACCTTTGAGAGGTAATTAGATCATGAAGGCAGAGCCCTCATGAATGAGTTTGCTGGCCCCTTGACCTGGGACTTCCCAGCCTCTGGATCTGTGAAAATAAATGTTTGTTTAAACCACTCAGTCTATGGTAATCTGTTATAGGAGTCTAAACTAAGACATCATCTTTGGAAACTTTTATGAAGTTTAATATAAAGATACACTATTAACATTTTTACTTAGGTTATAACAATATATAATACATACAGGAAGTAGAGCATACTTGAAAACCACATGAAATTAACATAGACATTATGGCATTTGTTGAATATTTTTAAAGTTTTTGTTGTTAAAATTTTATTTCTATTAGTTTTACAATTTTCATTAGAGTATTTGTAAAATTTTATATAGTTATTCCTATTCTATTAGCCTCTGAGCATTTTTAACGAGATAAATATTCTTTGAAAAGATAATTTCCATAGGAACATTCTATTAATGAAACTAAGAAAACTGTATGATTGTAGTTAAGACGGAAGAGTAGTGGGAAGACCTTATGCTTGCTTTGTCCCTCAAACACAGCCAGATAATTATCAAGTCATTCTGGACACTGAGGAAATCCATCTGAGGACTAAGAGAATAAATTGCACAACTAGAGGAAGAAAAGGGGCCAAATTGTGGAAGGTAGGAGTTGTAGAGACTCAGAGATGTGATTTGGGGGAGAAGAATTGTGGGTGCTGCAGAGGAGAGGGAGCCCTGATCATGGAGAGAGGCAGGAGAGAAAGAGAGAGGGAGAGGGAGAGAGAGAGAGAGACAGAGAGAGTGAAAGAGAGAGTGAAAGAGAGAGAGAGAGACAGAGAAAGCAGCAAGCAGGGGATTGCACAGGAGAAACACTTCTCCAAAACCATTGACTGGGAAAATGAGAGGGGCTGATTATCACAAGTTTTTACAAGCAGCAGAGCTGAAAGTCTGAAGCTTTAGAAGACAATACCATCATGAGGGTTAAGCCTGGCAGGCATAGTGATGCTACTATGGAGAAGGTGGCAGAGACCTGGGAGCAGCCTGGCAGGGAGGGTTGCAGGGGACGGCAGCAGATGGCTTGGACAAAAACAGGTTGAAGGAAGGGATCTGATGGAAGCCTAGGACACAAGAGAGGAGATTGTTCATTCTTCTGTGAGGGCTTCCTGAACAGTGGCATGTGCGAATTCCCCTCTCCAGGGAAGAGAGTGGCTGCTGCCATTTTTCACCTCTCCCATTAGCACAGAAGGACTTCAGTGAATGGCAAAGTGCACACAGTGGAGGCTTGAGCCCCTTACATGAAGCCCTGTCTCACTGTGCTTTGCAGGTGACATTTTTTCTAGGGCAAGTGTGATTGAGAACCAGAGCAGCAGTGGGCCTCTCCCCTGGAAGGCCAGCACAGCCCTCCCCACCCACCTCAGCCCATCCCTGTCATAAAAGGGAAATATATTGCAAGATAGGCCTACATCAAGAAGTAAGAAGTCTCAAATACATAACCTAATCTTACACCTAAAGGAGTTGAAAAGGAAGAGTAAATAAACCTTAAAGACAGCATAAGAAGGGAAATAATAAAGATTAGAGAAGAAATAAATAATGTAGAAACAAACCAAAAACACTAGTAGAGCAGTCAATGAAATTAAGCTGGTTCTTTGAAAGGATTAATAAAATTGATAACCCCTAGCCAGACTTATCAAAAATAAATAAATAAACAAATAAAATCATGAATG